CCAGGGAATGCCGCCCACCCGGAGACAGAAGCTCCGGACTGCCTTGGCTGAGCAGTGTGGCAGACAGAAAATGGGCAATCTGGAGGTGGCCCTGTCCTCCGTGGGGGATAGGTACCAAGACCCGGGCCGCACCATGATGGTCCAGCAAGTTGAGGCCTGGTTCCAGCTCAAGAAGCGCTGGGTAGGAAAGGAAGAGCTGGAGAGAACATGGGGCCTCACAGTCCAAAGGCTGGAAGAGGCCAGCAGCAGGTGGCAAATGGTCAGGGGCCCGTTGGCAGCCACGGTTGCGTACCTGCTTGACATGGGTTGGCAGCCTAGAGGCAGTGATGAATGGTTAGACACCCACGGCACCAAGCACACCATGCACACCCCACAGCAGGAGTGTCGTGTCTTAGACCTCCTCCAGCAAACCTACCAGAAGGAGGTGAACCACCGCATCGCCACTGGTCTTGCTGCCCCTGAGCTACAGGAGGGAGTCGACTGGACGGTAGGGAGGAAATTGCTGGGGGAGTTCAAGAAAGAAGGTCGAACCACGAAAGCAGCTGCCTTGAGGTGCGTCTGGCAGGGTGCCTTGGTTTGCAGCCAAAACTCTGCTGTCAAAGTGTGCCCCCGATGCCACGAGGAAGCAGATTGGGAGCATGTCCTCCTGGATTGTGCCTGGTGGGAGGCCCAAAACTTGGGAGTTGCCAACATGGTTCCAAGAAGGCAGGGCCCAAGGCCCGAGATCACTGTGGACCAGGGGCCTCCCGCCCAAACCCAAATGGGAGGTACAGCCTCCACAGGAGGACAATCCCATCTTTCTGGGTATATGGGCAAACAAAGAGGCCCTCAATGACCCGGAGCTTGTGTATGGCACTGATGCTAGCGGGGGGCCCTATACGGCGGACCCGAGACTCAGGCAGGTGGCCTACGCAGCAGTAGCCTGCAAGAAGCAGGGCCAAAACTATGTCCAGGTAGGAGCGATCGTTGGCCAAGTCCCTGGACCACAGACGGTGTTTAGGGGGGAGCTGTACGCCGTTATGCAGCTAGCCCGGTATACAGCAGGCCCTGTTGACACGACACGTGTCCCGAAACGAGTCCGCAGCCCGAAGCCGGGCAAGACCCACGGTGACATCTGGTGGGAGCTGCAAACCACAGATGTCAACCGCCTCAAAATGAAATGGGTTCCATCCCATGTTTCCCTCCGGAAGGTGGGTGCGGAAAACTCGTGGAGACAGCAGATCAATGACCTAGCGGACAAGCTGTGTGGGGAGAAAGCGGCCGAGCTGGCCCACCCTGATGTCCGGGCAGCCAGTCAGTACAAGGACCATTGCAGCAAAAAAGCACAAGAATTCCTGGCGAGCAGGGCGGAAAAGATCCTTACTGCCATTGGGGAAAATCAGCACCCAGTGTACAAGGTCTTCCTGCAAGAAAAGCAGGCTCGCAAGAGCAACGAGGCCACCTCCAGGCCCTGCAAAAAGCGCATAGGGTCCAACATTGGGAGAGGCCACATCACCACCCAGCAAGAATGGTTCCAGGAGCTGGTCCGGACCAAACTTGTGCACGCGTGGGAATGGGAAGGTCTCAACCTCCGGTGTGCTCAGTGCCAACTTAAACTCTTGCACACAAAGAACCGCAAAACCTTGGCAGCATTGGCAGCACACCAATGCACACACCAAGGCAGAGTGACGGTTGAAGGGGTGCATGTTACACATGTTTTAAAACTGCTAGGGGACAGACAACTGTGGGTTTGCGAAGGTTGTGGTGGACAGTTGTCCTTGAAGACTAAAAATGTTTCGCAAAAACTTTCAGTTGCATGCAGTTTTAAAAAGGACCCCAGGTGCAAGGCGCAGTTTAAGCCCGAGCCAACCAATGCCATCCGCAGCTTCTTTCAGCAGGTGCAAGGGACAGCCCAAGTGCAGCAGACCCCCTGTGCAAAATCCCTGAAGGCACCGGCAGCTGAAGCAACCTAGGAGGTTGCATCCTCCCAGTGAGGATAAAGTGAAGGTCATCCTCGCTACCAGAGAAGCCACTCCTGACCGATCCCCTCTAACAGCCTGCGCCAGGTGCACCAGCGGCCTTGAGGGAACTTTTTGTCAGGAGGTTCCTAACCTCTCATGAGGTACCAGCCTCTGGTAGCATCCCAAAGAGGATGATAAGCTGAGGTTCATCCTCGCTGCCAGAGAACACACCCCTGGCCGATTTCCTCTCACGGTTTGCACCTAGTGCACCAGAAACCTTGAGGAATGTTTTGCCAGGAGTTTCAATCCTCTCATGAGGTACAACCTCTGGTAGCATCCCAAAGAGGATGGTAGCTTAGGAGGAGGTAGCATCCCAAAGAGGATGGTAGCTTAGGAGGAGGTGTTTTCCTCCCCCTGTATTATAGGGCCAAGAGGGCCATCAGATGTGCCGGTACAGAGGCACGGTTTTCACAACCCAAACACCAAGAAGGTGGATCGCATTTGTTCGCTCAACTCGGAAAAAAATTGAACCCAGGTTCAACCTGGGTTGAACCCAGGTTGAACCCAGGTTGGTGGTTTGACCAAGACTCACCCACCCTGAGCAGCAAAGTCAGGAGGTGGGTCAGCCTCCACCATGCCAGCATCCCCATGCTGGCAAGCTTGTTGCTGTGGGAATTAAAAACCATGGACATGGTCTTTGTCGAGGCTCTCATCGACATGAAAGTCCTCTATGAGTTGCCGTCGCCAGACTATGGGCTCGCGCGACCCCTCGGCAACATCATGGAGGAACCTCGCTGGGAGTTGGTCCCACTCAGGGAACCACCAGCTGAAGCAGCCTAGGAGGTTGCATCCTCCCAGCGAGGATAGCACAGAGGTACCATCCTCGCTACCGGAGCGGAACCCTGACCGCCTCCCTCTGACAGCCTGCACAAAGTGCACCAAAGGCCTTGAGGGACCTTTTGTCAGGAGGTTCCTAACCTCTCATGAGGTACCAGCCTCTGGTAGCATCCCGAAGAGGATGCAAGCTGAGGTTCATCCTCACTGCCAGAGAACACCCCTGGCCCCTTCTCTCACGGTTGCAACCCCTGCACCAGCAACCTGAGGAGCTTTTGCCAGGAGGTTTCTTTCCTCTCATGAGGTACAACCTCTGGTAGCATCCCAAAGAGGATGGTGGCTTAGGAGGAGGTTTTTCCTCCCCTGTACATTAGGGCCAAGAGGGCCATCAGTGGTGCCAGTGCAGAGGCACGGTTTTCACAACCCAAACACCAAGACGGTGGATCGCATTTGTTCGCTCAACTCGGAAAAAAATTGAACCCAGGTTCTCGATGTTGTTGTTCCCCCCCCCCCCCCCCCCCGCCCCCCCCCCCGCAGGCTGGAGTTCGAACCTGGGTGAACCCAGGTTCGAACCCCCCCCCCCCCCGAACCTTGCTCGAAATACATGCCCTTTACGGCGTTTTCAACCCAAAAAGACCCAAAAAAGGTACGTATTTGGAAGGTCGGCGGTCCGGTCCGGAAACGGCCCAACCTCAGAAATACGTGCCCTTTACGGCGTTTTAGGCCCAAAAAGATTCAAAAAAGGCACGTATTTGGAAGGTTGGTGGGGTATTTGGAAGGTCGGCGGGCGGGTCCGGTCCAAATACATGCCCTTTACGGCGTTTTCAGGCCCAAAAAGACCCAAACAAGGTACGTATTTGGTGGGGGGGTCCGGTCTGGAAACGGTTCGACGTCGGCGGAGGGGGGGGGGGTCCGGTTCGGAAACCCTGACCTTGAAATATGTGCCCTTTAGGGCGTTTTCAGGCCCAAAAAGACCACAGACTAGTCCTGAAGCAATCCCGAAAGGTTTTGCATGTTTCTTTTGCTTTCCTCCGTTGTGTAGCAAAGTTGAAGTGGAGTTTGTAAACCTTGCGACCTGAGCTCTTGCAAAGAGCTTTCTGCTGACATGGACAGTCATGCTGAACACTACGGTGTTTGACTCAAGTGCGACTTGCGAAAAGAACTGCGCGAGTGCTCTGCTTTCAACAAGAACGCACTGGTTGGCATCTGGGACTATGAACGCTGGGTGCCTTTTGGTTGTCCTTCGACCCAGAACCGGACCGTGGCTCCGATCCCTCCGTCCGGACCCGGACGGTGACCCGGCTCCGGACTCGACCCGTACCCGGATCCAGACCCGGACCCGGACCCCAACCCAGACTCGGACCTGGACTCGGACCTCCGGACCCGGACACCGGACCCGGAATTGGACATGTATGTAATAAATGACATTACAAATTTACTCTTGTTACAATATTTTTTTTTATCATCTTATTTCATATTATAGTGCAAATATACGGTTCTATGTTCAACTTTTTAATATATTATGTTTGTTATTATGGGTTTTAAGGCAGAAATCTATCGGTCTTGCACTTGCGGCTGTGGGGTTTAGGGGTTAGAGTGTAAGGAGTCTTGCACTTGAGGACTTGAGGCCAAGGTGGGTTTCGAGTTAAGGTTTAAAAAAGACTCAGCTTGCACAGCTTAACAAAAGCGGGGGGGGGGGGGCGCAGCCTCCCTCCGATTTGCAAACACAATGATTGCAGCCCTGCCACTTTCGAGCACAACGATCGCATGATGGGTGTAGAACAGGCTTTGAAGCAAGCTTGCACGTTTTTATGAGCGGGAGAGTGGGGGGGGGAGGGGCAGCCTCCCCCATTTGCGAGCACAATGGGCCCCAAGGACCCAGACGCGAAGCTTTGGATTTCTGGCATTTCGCTGTTAAGGATTTTGAAGACTCTTTGAGGGACGACAGTCTGTCCAGCTGTAGTATGCTGTAGTGAACCGTAATTGCCCGTAGTGTCCCCGTAGTGACCAAGTAGTTGGCATGTTGTGTGCTACCGCAGACTTTGAGTACATCAGATGGCTACATCATGGCATCTTCTGACAGTTTGAAGAACTTCTTGGCCCTTGCAAGATGTTCATAGGCATAACTATGCCCTTGCCAGTTTCAGGTTGTTTAGCAACGCTGGAAGGCCAAGGAAAGGGAGTCATAATTTGATCGGTGCATGATTCTGCGAAACGCTGGCTGACATGGCGGACCCTGCAGGTGGGATATGTGCATATAGGTATATGTAGTATGCGAGATGTATGCAGAGATACGACAAAGAACGCGGTTCAGCGTGGTTTTTACGTTTCGCAAGCAACACCTGCTCCAGGCCCGCGGCTAGTTCCACCTCCACCGCCTCCGGCGCCGGATGTCTGGTGGCCGCCCACGCCTCCACCCGAGGTGCAGGGGAAGATAGTATCATGAAGCTCCTGCTTCCGCGTGGGTTGCTCGAAGCTTCCTAGAGGGCCGAAGTCTTGAGCCGCTTAGCCCTGAGGTTGGAGAAGAAGAGACTCGGAGGGGTGGCTTCGCTTTGATCTCGCACATGGCGGTTGCCAAACCCAGGTGCAGTGAGGGGGCACACCGCGGATGTTGGGTGCTTCCCCTCTTGTTTCTGGTCTCTTAACTTGGGGACCGCTGGCTCAGGACAGAGCGAGACATAATCAGCCCAAACATGCTTGATGGCATTGGAGGTTGGCTGGATCCGGCTACCCAGCAGAAGGCGCATGGTCTCGAGGAACACGCGTGATAGCAAGCGAACAAGTGCGTGCGTTGCCGTGCCAGGTAGGACAGGTGCCACCAATGCTGGGGAAACAAGGCTTCTTTCAATCATGTACATGTATGTCCAGCAATGCTTGTTCAGCATGGTGACGAAGTTGATGTGAAGGTTTGTGCAAAAGCGCTGCCTACCACCGGCTGGGCCGGTTTTGCACTCTGCTCCACATGGTGCCGCAGCAGCAAATGACAGCAGCCTATCATGCTGATTGAATGTGCCAACGGTTTTGTAAGGTCTAGGTGTATGAGTCTCTTTTTATCGCTGTTGAGCATGATGTTGGCGAGCTTGTAGCCATGTGATATTGCAGCATGTGACGTGAAGTCACTGCGGTTTTCTTTTGAGGCCTTGGTTGGTCACAAGTTTGGAACGCTCCTCAACCAGTTCAAGGGCTGTTGACAGCTCAGTGCAAGGCCGCAGGAGCCTCCGACTGTCTTGTGTGTGATTGGTGCAATTCTCCCAGGCATGCGGGAGTGCCACACGCATTTGCATCACCCACGCGCTGCGCTTATCATGTTTAAACACATCACAAACGTTGTTTTGCATACGTCCGTATTTACATGTGCTACATTACGCGAAGGGCTGGTCGGCGGATTGTGGAGGCCCGAAAAGACTGTTGCTTGCCGACCTGCTTGGTGTGCTTGACCTGCTTAGTGGAGCGGCATGTTCTCACAGTGCTGTGTGTGATCCAGGAAACGCGGACAGCATATGCAGATGCAGGCATGCTTCGAAGCAAGTCGCCACCTCCCGCAATGCGGTTGGTTTCCCAACCTGCCGTGCAGCCCCTTGTTGCTCCTACCGTGCATCTGGCGGCAAGGCCGCACATGCGCCAGCCACTTCTTTCGAGCACAGATGCAGTCAAGTCGATGGGATGCACCCGCCAGACCCTGCCGGTACTGCCGACCTCGAAGTCCATGCATCAGCTCCCGCAACGTCCGCAACTTCCGCAATCCATCGAGCCAAAGAGTGTGATGGGTGTGGGTGCCTGCCCCATTTCGGGTCCAAAGAGGCCGGGCAAAGAAGCCTTGTCGGATGATGAGTTGAGACTCTTGGCCGAGGAGGTGCTCCACAACTTCGTGGCGAGCTCCTTGCTGAGGAAGTTGAGCAGGGGAGAGTTAGATGCCCTGCTCAAGGCCCACCTGGGCGACCAGCATGCCGCACGCCTCATGGCGCAGAAGGCACACCTCCATGCCGCCACGGAGAGGGTCATCTCCAGCTCCGCGAGCCTGGGCGCACTGCACTCCAGCGAAGCCCGGTTGGAGGACGCTCAGCACAAGCTGGCCTTGGCCAAGGCCGAAGCCATGGAGTCGACTTTGCTTGGGAGGATCAAGGAAAGAGCCGAAAGAGCCGAAAGAGCCGACATGAAGTCAGAAAGCGCAGATGCAGAGATTGCGGAAGTGGATGGGCTGAATGGGCTGAGAGGGCAGGGCGATGGTGAAATTGATCTCTCCTCGCCACTGCCTCACGTGTCGCAGATGTGTGCCGCCTCCGACATGAAGTTACCAGACACGTCCCACGAAGGGTTTGGTCTGGAGAGTCTGGAGGAGCCATCTGTTCTCTGCCATGAGAGATCGAGGCCGCGAACCGCTGCCACAAACGAGGATTTGGGCTACATATTTGGTGAGGTGGCAACCCCTGTTCCTCCCGTGTCCCCACCGCTTCAGCTAGACGTGCGATTTTCATCTCCTCCGAGACCATCGCGAATGAAGTCTGTGCAGCTTGTCAGCAAAGAGCCTGCAGTCTTGTCAGGTTTGTGTGGGATGATGATGATGATGATGATGATGATGATGATGATGATGATGATGATGATGATGATGATGATGATGATTAGTATTAATATGACCATTTTTGTTAATAATAATGTTATTATTATTTTTATTGCGGTTGCTGAGGCAAGCGCTGCACGAGTGCTGGGCCAACCCATACTCGAAGACTCGAGTTGCCCGGCCAGGATGACGCTGAGCCCCAAAACGCTGCTGCCGTTTTGTCATGTCACCATGAATCTTGTGCGTTCTTGCCAGTTCTTGCACATCGTTGTGTTGGCCCTCTTTCAATTGACAATGTTATCAAGCTTAGCGCGGATGAAAACTGGAACTCCGTAGGTACTCAGCTGCGCAGCTACGAAATCTTACAAGGTTACTAAGTTAAGCCAAGCCCAACTGCTGCAGTTCAGTGCTCGATCCCGCAGCGATGGTGGATCGCATAAAAGCCATGGCCTGACAAGGCTCTTGAATTCGTTCTCTCAAACCCACAAAGGCAGTTAAGGTTGCACTGTGATTCTTGCTTGAGGCAGGACTGGCCCAGAGCTATGGCGACATTCCTGAGGTGCCCTGAGTTCTTGTGCTGAGGTTGCGTGTTGCGCAAGCGTTTAAATGCATTGGTCCGTTTCTACGCCAGGTCTCCATGCTTGAGGGTTCTGCCCTTAAGAGGCCTCGCTCAGACGAAGAAGAAGGCAGAGAGCCATGCGAAGCATCCAATCGAGTCTAATCGGACGCCCGCGATGATTTGACATGCAGCGCAACGCAAGTTGTTGTCACATTTGGAGAATGGTTCAGAGGCGAAGGCCAAGCAGATCAAGAAGCAGAATGCTCCGTCAGATTCCCAGAGCGTTGATGTACCGGGATGATTCTACCATACTACCATACCTCGGGCATCGTGCCCAGTGCAGCTATGGATGAGGCAGCTTTGCTTGTCGAGAAAGATTCGCGCTTGTGCCAATCGCCTTGTCAGCTCGCGGAAGAAGGACAAACCACGAACGACAAAGCACAAAGCATGGAGAAAAAGAGCAAAAGATGTTAGACTTTCCTGAGAGCTCGCCTCCAATGGAGCAACATGTGGTGCCGGCGAGCACCCCCCGGCCTGCGCCGGTTTGAGGCCCCAGATACCCAGCAGTGAAACCACACAGCTCCCAGAGCCTGGCAGGTTGGCTTTGCGTCTTCGGCTCCTGGTTTGGCGTGGGTGCCGGCTGCTCGTGAGTGCCTTCTTTCCGGGTGTTTTTTTCGTTTCAGAGGTGCCGCCGCGTTTTGACCGGCGGCTTCAGGCTGAGGAAGGCACGCGATCCCGCGATTTCGAGAAAGCTGCGGGAGAATGTCGTATGAGTCATATGTGATCGAGCCTAGAGGCCGCGGGCCACCGCAACAAGGAAAGCGGCAGGAGAAATCTGTGGAGTGCTCCGTCTGGTCAGCATTCTATCCTCGAAAAAGGACAGCCATGGGCATGCTCCCAGCGGCCGCAGTCAGCGCCTGACTGAGCAAATAGAGAACCTGGCATCGGCGCTGTTGCCAGCGGAGGCCGGAGAGTTCAGAAGCGAAAAAACCGCAGACTTGACGTTGACATCTGCGCTGCTTGTGCATTGGGTTCTTGGAGGCGCAGGAGAAGCTTCGGGATGAAATGGTGCAGGAACTTCGACGTCGAATACAGGCTTTGTTGTAGGCAGCGGCATTGTGGTCGTGGGCTGGTCGAACCTGATTCCGAGGTCGAGATGCCCGGTGCCGACCTTGTCACATTTGGCTCCGCTGCCACAGGCCCGGTCCAGTGCAGGCTACCAGTGACGCGATTTGGGCTGACAGAGGCCTCTGGTTACCAGGCCGCGACGTCGACCTGAGTTTGAAGGCTGGAGCGGCGTGTGCTGATATGTGAGGGTTTTGATTCTTGGTTGTTCAATACGCGCCATAACGCAACTAGAACGACAGGTGCCGGGACTTCATTCCGGCCGCACGGAGACCAAGCAAGCTCTGCATCGTGTGGCTTCCGTCATTTATTCGTGCCCTGGTGCAGACACTAGAAAGGGAGCGAGTTGGGCTCTTTTCTTTTGCACGCCGTTGTTGTTTTTTTAAAAATCTCTCTCTCTCTCTCTTTCTCTCTATTTATCTCGCTTGGCCTCACACAAAAACAGCGGAGGTTTTCTGGCGACAAGCCTGAGAACCGCCTCGCGGCCAAAGTGCCGCTGCTGCGTTGGGTTCCAAGCAGCGTGGCCGCCTCAGCTGCGCAACTCAGCTCTTCAAATTCGAGACGTTCGCAGAGTTTTACGCGGAGTTACACGGAATCTCGGTGTAGCTCCCATGTTCTCATGGAAAATTTCATGAAATTCGTGCAGAGGGTTGCGATTGCCCGCCCGGCTCTTTCCAATTCACTGCAAGCGCCTCTCTTGCTCTTGGCTCTTCGGCTCCCAGGCCTCATTGCCCTGCTTCGACATCACCGTCAACAATCTGCTGGCAGTGGAGAACTCGAGGTGGCAGTGTTCTTGCATCTGGTTGACGATTATTCGAACATGACCATGGTTACAATGAATGCTAGATTATTCCTATGATTGTCAAGGTTCCTCAGTATCACGTTTGCACCTTTGAATGTCGATTCTGCCGAAGAGACAAAAGCTGTGCCATATCCTATGTCCATGCTGCATATTTCTGAAGTTTCGCGACACCCGAAAACCCTCATCTAAAACCCCCTGAAGCCATAAGCCACCGCCTCAAGCCCCCGAAGCCCATAAAGCTTCAAAGCACGATCGAAAGCCCCCCTTGGAAGCCCCCCCCGAAAGCCCCCCCCTCCTGAAGGCCCGCCCCCTTTAAAAAAGAGCAGAGGCTGGTGAGTGGGTACCTGCAAGCCGAGCCGCTTCTGCGGAGCCTCGTGATCGTCATCAAGACCTGGGCCTCGGAGCGTGGCATCAACGACCGAAGCCAAGGCCCAGGGGCCCAGGGGGCCCAGGAACCCCGTTGCAGAAGAGAAGAGAGCAGCAAGAGGAGAGTCACTGAGTGGGAAGAGTCACAGTAGGTCGTAAGCAAGAGCAGTAAGAGTTGAATTAGGAGTAGCAGGAGGAAGAGGAGTATGAGTAAGAAGAGTTCCGTTGCAAACGAGAGAAGTCAGCTTCGTCAGGGTCGCGATAGTAACCTTAGCAGTCATGGAAATCATAATCCCAGTAATCCTCGTAATCCGAGTCCTAGTTATCCTGGAAATCCTTGCTGTAGTCATCATGGCACATTTAGCCAGAAGAAGCAATGTGTAGATCAAGTAGGAGCGGTCGGCTCTGCCCTGCTGCAAGAGGCACCCTGTCTTCCTTCGCGCTGACCCTGATGGCCGTGCATCTGCTGCAGAGGCGCTGAGGGGTGTCCTTCTGCCCTCGGGTTCTCCCTTGCTCCTGAGCGAAGCGCGTGCCACGTGCGCAGGAGGAGGGTGCTTCCTTCGCTGCAAGACCTCGCCATGCTGCTCGGCGAGCCGCGGCGAAGCGTCCTGGAGGCTGATTGCAGGTTCTGCTCCGATGGTGAAGTCATTGAGAAGGAGAAGGCAAAGCTGGCATCCTTGAGAATGGCCTCGGCTGAAAGCCTTGGAGCTTGGCTGTTGGATTTCTTCCGCTATTATGGCAAGGAGCAGCTTGAAGCACATTGGGAGGGCCCTCCACTCTTGACTCATGGCATCATGGCATGCCCTGGCGCCTTCTGAGGTACAAAGGTGGCGTGATTGCCATTCGGAGTGGTGCGTCCACTGCTTGGAGATCCGCCAGCTTTTCTGGACAGTTTTACTTTGTCGACAACCCCTTCGAGCCAGGCAGGGGTTGGAACGTGCCCTGGGCTGAACGGGCTTCTGAGGTGTCGTAATGCAGCCAGAGAGCAGCCAGCTCATAGCTCATGCGCAGGCACTGACGTTGCAAACGCACGGAACTGAGTTGACATTCGGGGGTGAAGAACCCTTTGATTGTAGCCCATTCGAGTCCATCCGGTAATGAATGATTGCAAAAGCTTTAAGGCTTTCATTCATGTTTCCAGTGAGGTGGAGATGGGACAGCTAGTTCGGCTTCGAGAGGAGAGCTGCTTCAGCGACTGCAGGGTCGTGTGCATTAGCCTAATGGCGCCAGAGGAGTTCCAGGCTGCATATTCCAAGCTGCGTCGCGGAACGTCTGTGGAGGAGCGAGGTCCCTTTTTTCGCATGCTTGCTACCAACACTATGATCAGTACCACCGATACTGCTGCAATTACCTCTGCTGGCTACTCTTGACTCTTGCTGCAGTTTCATCTAGGCCTTGGTCTTGGGTTTGGAGGGTCTTGAGAGGTTTGAGTCTCGTGAGGGGCTTAAGGGTTCCGACTGTTTACTTGCACGACCCTCCATGGTTGTACTACCCAGGACGATTGCAAAGCACCTGGGCGACTGGAGGTGGCCCCACAAAACTAACAAAACACGAAGCCCAGCAGGGCAGCAGTACGGAGCTCACAAGTTTTTGAGCGCCTGACGCGCTTGAGCCTCTTCTTCGCAGAGCGATAGGCAGTGTGAAGTTGCACAGCGTCAGAGGTTTTCGGAGTTCATGCCACCAGGCCTTAAACTCTAAGCTTTCGAAAGATTATAGGAGGGATGCTGCTGTTGGAGTCTTCCCTAAAGTCCGAAGTGTGGACCCGATAGTCGATCGAACTTGGGGAGGCATGGGCAATATCACGAAGCTAGCTTTGGAGCTTGCGTTTTTTTGGTTACAACCTTCTTCTTTTGGGGCAAATGGGACTTAGAGGGCCTTAGTCCCGGATGTCTCATGGATTTAAGGTGCCTTGCATGTGGTGTGGCCTAAGGGGGGTGTTTTCTCGATTAGGTGAAAGGGGCTGTCCCCCCCCCTCCCCTTTCTGGGGCCACCTGCCCCCAAATTTTAAACTAATGCCTACATTGACATACGATGCTGGATCGCATGTTTGAGCTTGCAGTTCCTTGTCTATCAGGGTGCAGTCACGTTCTGTTGTGCCTGCCAAGCCGCAGCGTCACATGTGCGAGAATATTTGTGTCGTGTGTGCCAAGCCGTAGCGTCACATCTGCAAGAATATTTGTCACGCGATTCTTGGGAGAAGCTGTGATGATTTTTGCTGTTCGTGCCACGCCGTCGAGAGACATGGGAAGGGCATCTGCCTGTGAAGTCGGAGGGACACCTGTGTGAGGATATTTGGAAACCGGACACTCAAACCCTAAGATCCTCAAGAGGCATACACAGACAGCCCATCCGCGGGGACCTAGCTGTCGTCGGCCCTGCTCTCAAGTACTATGGTGCCCTTCAAGGAAGACTGTTATACGTCAAGAGTATACGATTTGGAGATAGCGCGTTCTTAGATACTGTACTATGTATAGGTCTTACATCCAGAACGCCGGGGAATGTTAATCGTGACTGCCTGCGGCATCCCAAGAAGGAAGCCCTAAGCCCTGAGCTCTACACCCACGTCCCGAAAGCCCAGAGCACATTCAGCTTTGAAACCCTCTACGCCCTGAGCCTGACCACCCCAATCCTTTAAAACTCTACATGCCGTGCACGTAAGACCCTAAACATCCCTAAACCATACATGCCCTATAAAGCCGCAGCCCTCCCGCCACTCATGTGCATCACCGACAGGAGCTGTGCTGCGGACGTCAGCAAGAAGATGCTGATGGCGCCTGACGGGTGAAAAGACAAAGCTCAATGGATAGCTCTGTCTGTCTCCGTCTTGCTTGGCACGTGATGCCGTCAACCCCTTGATCTAGCGGCGAATCTTGCGACCTCTAGCGACATGCCTTTGTGTGTCATCTCGCGCTCGTTCCTCGTACTTGGGCAACTGACCCTGCTCGAAACGCCGCGCCGACAAAGCGACCGACTGGCCTTGAGAAACGCTTGTGTGCGCTTCGTTTACGGTGTGCGAAGATGCTGGACAGCAGGCACATTGTGAGACCTGACTGAGGGCGGAAGTGAAGCTGGCTCACAACATACCGCACCACACTTAGTTGCTGCGTGGACAGACTTCAAAAGAAAAGGTTGCTTGATACTGATGCCGACATCTCCTTCGAGGTATGAGCTGACAAAGGAGACACGCGAGTTCTTCCAGAACCAGAACCGTTTCAAGGTAAGCTGTCGGAGTTGAGGTGTCGTGCTGAGTCCTGCCCCACAACTGCAGATCAACTGAGGCTCTTCTGGAGTTGGTCTTTTCCCCTCGCGAGCCCGAGGCTCTCTGACAAAAAACGATGATGTGTTTCTGTTGTGTCCACAGAGCACGGCTATGCACAGCTTGCATGGAGGAGACAAAGGAGGACCAGGCTTGGTCTCTGAGTGGTTTGATTGCAAGGGCCTCGTGCGGTGTTAAGGGCATTTGTAATCATTTGTATGCATGTCCCAGCCTCTGAAGCATGGCTCTCGAGATTAGGATGTTAGAGAAGCCGAGAGTAATGTGCCGAAGCAAGCGGAGGTACCATCGCTTGCCAATGTAGGCACTTGGAGGAGTTTCTTAGAGGGGCATCCTAGTTTTGATTTTTGCATCCTTTTTTGAAGCCTTTTTAGGCCCAACCCCCAAGAAAGCAATGCCAAGAACAAGACAGAGAAGGCAAGAGCACAACTCTACTACCCATTTTCCTTTTCGAAGCAACAGCAGTTCGTCCACCACGCGGTGGAGCGGGAGATTGTCGAGAAAGTTTGTCAGAGCCGCCGTTTGGTCTCTTTCGTTCCCCCTCCCCCCCCTAGGCCTTTTTTGGCACGTCACCACATCTGCTTCCAGATGACCTAAGAGCTTCTCCGCCACTGCCTTCATGTTCTTGTGATCTTCCCCTTCGCCTTGCATCCGTCCACAGCTTCGCATGATTAATCAGATTAGTCAGGTTTACGTTGGGCTCTCGCAGCACTTAGGTATCCTGACGGGTGTCAACCTATTGTGCTCTTCGGCCAGGTTGAGTTCGAGAATGCAAGGGCGGAGTTCGACACGATGTGTGAGAGGGCAAAGCATCTCTACAAGGCACGCACATAGTGTCATGGGGCCTTCGTCGTGACATGTTTTGGCCTCGGGTCCAAGTGTTCCGCCGAGGCTCACGAGGATCGTGCCGAGCAGAAAATGCCATGCCCTCTGAGCTTCAGTTTAGGGAGGTGTAGCCTGGTGCATGTGTGCATTGCCTAGTTTGCTTGTCCTCTCAGGTGGCGTGCCTTGCAGCAACTGCCGGAGGATCTGTATGCTGAGGTCATCACTCCGAGGGGAAGTTTGCATGAGGTCTCATCAATGGAATCAGACATGGATGTGAGTCGAGGCTATAGCATCCAAGCCGGAGAATGTACCGGAAGAGCTCCGCACCTAGAGACCCAGAGAGCTGGGTATTGAAACGTTGAGATAAGGCACGCCCAAAAAGCGCTCTGTTCTCCAGGCTTCTGTTTCACAACCGCTACCGCAAAGAGATCTTCCGAGCCTTGTGCAAGCAGCTGTGTGTGCGTGTGTGTGTGTGTGTGTGTGTGTCTCTGTGTGTGTGTGTGTGTGTGTGTGTGTGTGTGTGTGTGTGCGTGTGTGTGACATTTCCTGACCTTGTGGGATTGCTGGTGCGTTTCTCGCTTTCGAGGAAGCCTCTCGGAGAACGATCAGCGAAAACTGCAGCCGAGCTTAGTCCAAGCTGAACTCTTGCCATGTGTTGGGTGAGGGTCGGGTCGGGAAGCTACCCCTCAGGCCCCGTGTGGCAGGAAGCATGCCGGTGAGACTCAGACAAGACGGGAGACGAAATGAATGTCACGAATAGCAACCCTGCCTCAACCTTGTCCTCTCGGTGCGCACTCTGACCTCCCATTCAGAGTCCGCCTTCTGTAGCAGAGGCATAGGGTCCAACCCTTGCCTTGGACCCCACCCGCCTCCCCCCGCAACCTGACCCGCCCCCCCCCCACGCCCCCTTGCGTGAAGGCATCAGAGATTTGAGAACTCCCGTTTTCTCCGTTTTCTGATTCAGCCGGTCCTATCGAGCTTCTCCATGCTGGGTTTCGACACGATTTTCTGACTCGGCCGTCATTCGTGTGAGTGTGAGCAGTGCCTCCTCGACGCGCAAGAGCTCTGCCAGATCCAAGGCAAGTCTTCCATAACCTCATGTACGTGCGATATCCGCATTCGGACGAGAAGCGGTGCGGACCTCAACAGCCCAGCGGATGTCCTAAAGTTTTCCAAGCCATAGCGCTGCCAGAGCACATCCTATATGGCAGGCGGAATCCCCAGCGTTTCTGGATGGCCGAGAACCTGATCATGTCTCGGCAGAAAGAGGCTTGTCGAAGCTGCAAGGCATGCGAGGCTCAAGATTCTGTAGCCTAAGCTTAGCGCTGCACAGGCTGCACTGGCCAAGAAGAACATCAAGCCGAAGAAGGGCTGATGCGGGCGTGACTGGGTCGTGCCTTCGCCACTCCGCAGACGAAAAAGCGGGTGAAGGAACAAGGAGTATCGTCTCAAGTGGCTAAGGGGTACCAAGCCCGCACACACCTGATGTGCCTTCGGCCGCTGTGCTCTTCGCGCCTCAGCACATCCCAGCTGTGCTTCCAGTGGAGACATCACGAGTTGCCAGGTGCAATTGCTGAGCCAGATGGCACATCCACAACTCTAGGATTTGAATGACGTGGCGAAGTCGGATCCAAGCTATCGCAAAAGGAGGTCAAGAGTAGTCTTAAGGAGGATTCAAGAGGTGCTCAACTCAGAAGCTTCGGCCGGTTCCGTCGTGCGAGACTCATGGCTGGCGGCGAGGGCTGTGGGTTGGGCGCCTGCCAGGCTGCGCTCAGAGAAGTACGTGCAAAAGTGCACATGCTGCATGTGCCATCGAACTGAGTGGAACGTTGAGTGCGCGACAGTCCGTGCCTGTGGAGGTGGAGCGATGGCCACGAGCGGCATGTCGGATGGGCTTCAAGGCCCAGTCGGAGGGACTTGATGACCGCCGATTACATGACAACCGAACCTGCAAAAATGCCCCAATCCCCTAAAGCGAACACGCCCGACCGCGCAGCAAGAGCTTCTCCCGGAACTCCCTTAGAGCTTTCTCTGGGGGCAGGCCGGGGCTTGCTCTGGCGCCGGCATCTCCTTGGTGAGGGAGCCACGGGACCCTCGGCTGTTTGGGGGGGGGGGGGGGCTTTCCACTCGACATCCAAATGTCCTTCGTTGGGTTCATCGGGATAAATCGGGATCATGGTGTGTGTTTTTGTTGTGTTCTTGTTCGGTGGGGGAAGGTACATGGGGGGGGGGTACCCTCTTTTGGGAAACCCCTCCTTGTTTTGACATCCCTGACAAGCCCTAGATTTTTGAAATCCCAGCTTTTTCCCTTTGAACTAGTTTAGTTGACTTGACTAGCCGAAGTGAAAATCAACTAGCATCGACAACAGATTCTTCACCGGTTTGTTCCGTTGAGGTCCCTCTTCCAGAAGCTTCAGCGCCTGGCATGGCAAGTTGGACGCGAGATTCTCAGCGAAGGTTTGGTGTTATCACGCGTGGGAAAGCTGGACGTGCTTCAAGGAGTCCAATCAGAGGGTCATCCGTGCGGACCGATGATGCGACTGTATGCGAGTGCATCAGACTTGCGCCATGCACTGAAGCTGAGATGTGGAAGTCTTGCCACGGACAGGACGCAGAGCGCACGCGTTCTGACATGGAGTTCTTTCGACAGCCTGCGCTCCGCGACAAGATGGAGGACAGTTTTTCCAGACTCAGATTGTGGAAAAAAACGGTTGGTGATGCTCGCGGCATGCCATGTTTCTCCGTTTCCGGCCGTTCTGTCTTGAGGCGATGCTAACTTGCTGGTGCCAAGAGCGCCAGGTCAAGTACAAGCAGGGTCTGAACGAGGCCCGCGAATCTTCGGTGTCTAATGTGACAGCATGTGAGCATGGGCATAGAGGCAGCGTGCTTGTGATGAGTGCAGGTTCTTGCCCCATTTCTGTATTTGCAGACTTGCTGGCCTGCTTATGCATGTTTGATTGCTTGATGTGCTGAACTGAATTAGCTGGCGTGATGCGGCTAGGGCGCCAGAGCACCAAGACTTGCATGAGACGCCCAGTGACGACGAGGACCCCAAGAGCACCTTCATGCTCTCACAAAGCCTGACGTGTTTCAACTTCAGCATGTGTCCTTCCGACCAGGTCTTTGAGCTCTTCGTTACGTTTGTGCGGGACTACACGCCGTGCCTTGCTTGTGTTCTCCAAGCGTAGCGATTGGACGTAGAACTCATCGTCCACACTGTTGATGGCTACCGTTGTTTCGATCGTCGACTCCAGAGGTTCTTCTCTTCTGAGGAGTTCGTGTCACTGGATCGCAGTTTGTTTAAATGGCAAGAGCACGAGTCTTGTCCTGGGAAGCATCAGAACTGCGCCAAGATTCAATGACTGTCGAGGCCTTTGCAGTGTGCCTTCATCTTTTTCCGACGCCTCCTCCTGTACCATCGCTGTCACCTCAGCTGCTATACATGCCGCAATAACACCGCAATAAAGAGACAGAAGCAGAGCGACGGCCTGTGCCAACATCCAGTTGTGCCTGGCACCTTGCGCCGTTTTTGCGCAGGGCCGGATCTGCACAATCTCTTCGTAGAGAAGGATGTGTGCGGTCCCGAGACTCCCCGAGCATGGGCCACTGTCAGCCCTCTGAAAACTCCGGGGGGTTCGATGATCGAGATTCGCCCAAGGACCCCGGACATGCTGGCTGCTTAGTCGGATTGCCGGTGAGAGCCCTCATCCTGCCGAGTTGTTTGCCCATTGAGGTTCTGCATGCCCTGGTTTCTGACACTCTTTGCCAGCAAGACGCCCATGAGGCCTGCAGAGACGTGCAAAATCTTACAGGGTCTGAAGAAAGTAGTTTCTTCCTGCCAATCCTTTTTCCTCCATCTTGCCATCTTTTTCCAGAGCCTCTTCAGGCTGGCCATCCAGCTCTGGGACCGGCTCCTCGAACGAGGCGAGCCGCACTTCATCATCTTCCTCGCTGCTGCTGCTGCGGGCTTGGGGGCGTGCTGGCTCCTTGATAGCTCACACTTGGCTCCTTGTGTGGCAAGCCCAGTGAAGTCATGCGAAGTCTATAAGGTCCTGGCCTTGGCGGAGAAGGCTCGCAGAATCTCGCAGAAGCAAAGGGGCTTGGGTCTTGTCAAAGTGTGCAAAAGAGTGGGGAAATTGCGAAAATTGCCGGAACACCTGCCTCGAGAATTTTTCGAGTCACGTCCAGTGTTTCAGAGCTCCGGTGCGGAGGAGATCCTGACTGCAGACCGGAGTGCTCTGCCAGAGATTCTAACCTCTTTGGGCATTGACCTGAGAACTAGACCATGCACACGTTGCCCGTCCAGCAGTGCAGTTGTGGTCACACGGTCAGTGATGCGCTCAGGTGTCAATTCCCGTGAAGATCTGGAGAGCACTCCCGGCATGAGCAGTGGCCGATGCAGGGTCATGTGGGCGCGTGTCGCGGGGCGCGCGTGTCGCGGGGCGCGCGTGTCGCCTGCGCGATTCAGAAATTGGCCAGGGTTCAGGAAACCAGGACTCAGGAAACCAGGCGAATGTTGAGGAATCTGAGGGGTGGGGGGGGTGGGGTGGGGGATGATATCGTTCATGTCAAGCCTGCTGTCAGTTTCCCGAGCGGTTTCCGAATCTGCTCTTTTTCTGAATGAACGGTTTTCAGTTTCCAGTTTCCCGAATCCTCGGTTTCCGAATTCGCGATTCCCGCATCCTGGTTTCCCGAATCCGCGCTGAATCCGTGTTATCCAGTTTCCCGAATCAGGTTTTTCCAGTTTCCGAATCCGTGCATTTTCAATGTCGGAATCCGCCGCTGACCCTAGATAGTCTTCTCATGCTTGCTCCTATAGGGGTCGTTCTGCCCTGTTCTGCTCAACTGGACAAGACTTTAGCCTCCTAGCAGTAGCATAAATAGCGAATGCTGAGAGCTGATGGGTTTCTTGGTATTTCTTGGTGGCAGGCTTGTGGAGCTGTGCAGGAGCCACAGCTTTCATCGCTTCCGTCGTTTCTGCCCCTAACGACATGCATCAAATACCCAGGGTACTCAGACGATGTCGAAATCAATTCAGGTAGTTGCTGCGTGAATAGGTCCATTGCAGAGACGTAGCATCCGAGGCGGAAGGCTTGTTCATGCAGACCCCTGCGACCTTCGTGAAGCGTGTCAGGCTTGTTGTGCAACCCTAAGCCTTACACCCTAAACCCTAAACCCTAAACCCCGAACCCTGAACCCTAAACCCTAAACCCCTGTACCCCTATCAATTGTTTCTTTCCTGACCTGTGGTTCAGGCGGGTGGTGCTGAAGGCCGACGAGACAAAGGCAGCCCAAGAACAGGGCGTTGGGGTTCAGGGTTTAGGGTTTTGGGGTTCAGGGTTTAGGGTTTTAGGGTTCAGGGTTTTTGGGTTTGGGATTTGGGGTTCAGGGTTAGGGTTCAGGGTTTTGGGTTTGAGGTTTTGTCGGCCCCCTCGAGCTTTGGAGCGAGGAGGCCTGGTTCTTAGATTCTCGGCCCCAGGTGGCACAGGATGGCCAGAAGCTCCTGGAGAGCGTGGAGAAGGTCCGTCGTGCCGTCGCTTTGCTGATGGCCCAGATGCGATCGCTCCTTCAGGAGGGGTGCTTCTTCATACTGCCCGATGAGGTGGTGGGTTGGGGTCTCGGCAGGTTTTTGCCCTGGGAAGAGCTGCAGCTGCTGAGCTTCACACTTTGGCGAGGTCATTGCTATCCTCCGAGACCGGGTCAGGCGAAGAGCCCTGCCTGCCCCTCCCGACACCAAACTCCTGTGCAAGTGCTGCGAAGTATTTCCACTACATGAACACACGCTTGGATGGGCTCGATACTCCTGTCATTTCTTCGCATCTCTTGGCCTCATCAGGAGCTCAAGCCGTGGCAGCCTTCCCCGTATTGCCACTGAGCTTCGAAAGATTTGGGAGGGTCCTGTGCCGTTCTACTTGTGCACTGACCCAGGCCCCTGGCGCCTGCTGGTGCTGGACCTCCGTCCCGTCGCAGAGTTCGAGGCAAACTGCACTTGGGGGCTTCTTGGGGGCTTGGGGCATGGCCGCGGGGGATTCAGACTCAAGGAGTGATCTCCTGTGCAAAAGCAAAAGGCGGAGCGGCTTCCAGCAGCAGTTCACCTTGATCCGGCATCGATGTTTCCGCAGGCGTAGATTGCGTCGATGTCATGGCAAGGGCCTGCCGCGATCTGCCCTTCTCGTCGCAGCTTGCGTCCTTCTTGCCAGGCGGCTTGGAATTCCGGCAGGCCCAGGGGATGTTTGGGGGACAGAAGGGACCGAAGGGAGGGAAGAGGTGAGGCAGAGGCGAGGCAGAGGTGAGGCAGAGGTCCTGCGGCATGGGCCCTCTGGTCCCCAGGAAGCTCCTGCAGTGGGGCCAGGACAAATCAGGACCGGTTGTGCTGGAGCTGCTTGGGCCGCACCACGTTCGAATCTAAAGCCTCGCGCTGCGGCGTCGCATGGTGTGAGGCCATCGCAGGTCTTCGAGACCCTCAAGGCGACCCTCGGCGAAGACTGGATCTGTGACAGTCAGGCAACGTGGACCCCTTGACACGCACGCACTGCAATCTGCTATCTGTTGTCTGTGTTTTGTGTGTGTGTGTGTCTCTGTGTGTACACCTTGTTGCGAATGCTAAGGGTTAATCGTTGTGGCGCAAATTCCCTGTCGCTAGGTAGAAACACAGACTGAAGGCCCCCCAACCAAGCCGGCTGCACGTACCGACGAACCGGGACGGGACGCCATCCCGCGTACCTGCGATCCTTGTCGTGCTGCCCAGGGACAATGAAAATCCTTTGAGTGCATGAGCGACCAAGCAAGTGGCCCCCAGAAACAAGTTGGAGATTGGTTCGTATCTGGTATCAGGTTCGCCTTTCGACGGCTTTAAGTCGACTAGCGGGTTAGTTTGGATTACCCGACCCCAGGGATGACTCTAAGCCCACGGTTTCAACGACCTGGCTCAAGCCTGGGTTCTTGTAGGGCCAGTTTCTGAAAGTTTGAACATTTTTCTACTCTAGTGACGGCATTCGCCTTGCACCACCGCAGATTGCAACCGCACAGCTGGCCTGTAAACCGATGCATCTCAACGCAAATGCTTATGTACGGCGATGTAATCCAACACAAAGATCTATGTAAATCGATGCATCTCATCGCAAAGATCTTCCCATGTCGATGCCGCTCAACGCACAGGTCTTGAAACATCGATGCATCTCGTGTCTATGTAAAGGCATTGTCAAAGCAAAGGTTTATGTCGACCGAGTCGTTCCCCTGCAAATACACATTCATATCCAAAATGCTTAGCTTCCCGAAAACTCCGCTGTGCCGTAAATGATCGTGAGGTTTTGGGCTTAGGCCTGAAGGCTTGGGGATACGGGGCAAGGTTTAGGGTTTGGAGTTTCGTGTTTAGGGTTCCGAGTAGGGTTTAAGGGCGCAAGGAACAACCAAACCCAACCGGCTTAAAACTTGGTTTCAAGCTTACCAAGGTGTTGGCCCTTGGAGCCTTCCAACCAGTTCTAAGCCCCCGGACCTTAGAGACCATCCCAAGCGACCGAGCTCTCAGCTTAAAACCGGTTTAAAGCCGATTCTGACTTCAAATAGCAGACGAGCCCGCAGAGTTGTCACTGAGGCAATAGGCCGTTGATATCAGTCGGAAGACTTCGTGGTTTGTCAGCTTGTCCCGCCCAACTTTGTCACGAAAGCTAGCCTCTGAGGGCTGGCGGAGTATCTTACTTAAGCGAAGCTTACAACCTGAAGGGTATACAGGGGCCCCCGGAGGCTCCGCCACGAAACGCAGCAAACCCGGTCGAGTTCCGGTCTCGAAACACAGGTTTTGGGGAAACGGGCTGGCGTTCATTTCCTTCGTATATTGGGTGCAAATCAACGCCGTTTTTTGTGGATCCCAGGTCACAAAAAAGCCCTCAAAGAAAAGACTCAGAAGCCTTGATGTTGACTTGAGTCCGACGTCCCTCAAAGCTGGATTGGACAGACTTCGCCTGGTGAGTGCAACATCTGTTGTGGTGTCATGCGCTTCAAAAAAGAGCCCTCCGGAAGATGCTAAAACACCGCAGAGCAAAGCAACACACCAACACAGCCTGCTGCCTTTGCGTGTGCTTGTCCTGCTGCGTAGTTGATGCCATGTTGACGGAAGCTCTTCCGTGGGGGTACCTGAACATACCTTGACTAGCTTTCGTCCCAGGCCCTCACCCCCAAGTTTCATGCCCTCGCCACCGCAACAGTTGCAAAAGCTCCGCCGGACCACCGAGTAGCTGTTCACGCATGTCAACCGTTTCCTGCCTGGGCTGATTTGAGCTTGGCGCCGCTGGCCACAGATTTGTTTCCCCACCAACGAAACTGGTTGCAGTTACCGCGGAAGCGGGATGGGACGTCATCCCATGTACACTTGATTGCAGTAAGTCATGGTAAGATTCATGAAGCCTTCGAAGGTCCATGTGTGGGCGTGTGGGTTAGTCTGTTTGTATTTTGTGTTTGTAGGTGCGTATGCGTGTGTATGCAGGCTCACATTTGCCTACTTGGACGCTCAGAAGATTCTGCGCTGCTACAGCATTTGTACAAGGCAGGGCTCTCACATCGGTTTGCTTGCAAATTGTGCAGAATGCCGACATTCCCTTGGGGCCCACCGTGGGCGCGGCAAGGTCTTGACCAGAGACCTGACGTTGAGACACATTTCTGTCGCCAGTGGTGGCTTCCAGGCTGGCATTCTTTCTAATTCCAACAGCTCAAGCATGCTCGAACTCTACAATGTGCTCTTGGCAGTCCATGTTGCCAGGCTGTTATCAAGTGTGCTGCGAAGCACGGCTACGAGATCGTTCGGAGCGAGTCGGGTGTCGGCGGAACTCTAGACAGGCGCTGCGCACACGGTGGCTACCCAAAACAAGAATCTCAAAACCTTAAACCCAAAACCCCATGCCTATTCGAGTTTGAGAGCCCTGTCAGGCAGGCAATTCCTGCGGCGGCGGCAGCTGCAGAAGGCCACGTTATCGTTAGGGTCGGTAGGTTTTATAAGTCACTTTAAAATGTGTGGTTTAGGGTTTGATCAGGTTAACATGGTTAGGTGAAATGCAGTCGGCTCCATGTGGACAATAACTCCTTGAGGCGTGTGCCCAGTATGGCCATCCTGTGTAATGAGGTCTTCGAGCAGTAGTCCTCAAGAGATGCCTCCGACCAGAGAGAGCGAGATAGATAGATTAGATAGATGGATGGATGGATATATAGATAGATAGATATATATATATATGTATATGTATATATTTATATGTACACATGTCTGTGACCCCCCCCCGCCCCGATGTCCTTCAGAGTAGGTGGCGAGCCCCAGGTCTTGAAGGTTTAGGCTCTGTGCGGTATCTCATATGAGATGGTGCTTTGAAATCAAAGGTATGTCTAGTAATGTTGTCATCATGATTTCCGTCTTCAGGGGCAGCGGCAGCTGCCGCTGCAGCAGCAGAGAGTGCAGCGACCAAGCTGTCGGCCGTGCTGCCGTGTGCTTGGTTTCTCACGTGATGGGCCCTCTAACTCCCCATGTACCCCAAAA